GAGAAAAGGTCTGGCAAGATGTCCAGAAGAAAAGAATGGATGAGTAATTGACTTTGCGCAGGCTTGAGAAAAGGTCTGGCAAGATGTCCAGAAGAGAAACGGATGAATAATTGACGTTGCATGGGCTTGAGAAAAGGCCAGGCAAGATGTTTAGAAGAAAAACGAATGAGTAATTGTCATTGCATGAGCTTGAGAAAAGGCCTGGCAAGGTGTCCAGCTGAGGAAAAGATGTGTGAATGACTCCGCATGGGCTTGAGAAGAGACCTCTCGGGGATGTCCAGGAGAGAAATGGACGAGTATTTGACCTAGCACGGGCCTGAGAGAAGGCCTGGCAGGATGTCCAGAAAAGAAAGATATGTGAAATTGGCTTTGCGTAGACCTAAGGAAAAGTCTGGCAAGACGCCAGAAAAGAGATACAGGTATAATAGATTTTGCATGAATATGAGAGAGGCCTGACAAGAGGCTAGAAGAAAGATGTGAATAAGAGGACTGAGTAACGCGCATTTTAAAGCCTGGATATGAGAAAAGACGAATGAGGATGACACACGTAAGCTGGGCAAAATGACATGGGAAAAATACATGGGAACTGGCTAAGCATGAGACTGAGGAAAGAATGACGGAAGAACATGGATTGCACGGGGCAAAAAGTAGATTATGTTTTTATGACTCTAAGAGTACTGAATGAGGCGAGACCGTTTTCTCAATGAAATGAGAAGATAGATTTGAGATTACGAAGCACTTAAGGGGAGTTGTGTCTGGGCTCGCTGATTCGAAGTGGGTATCACCACAGCAAAGGCGGCGGTTGTACTGGACGAACATCTCCCTTCCGGAGCAAATGCCTGACATTGAGTCGCATCCGAAAACTTGCCTACAATTTGTTATCAACAAAGCCAAGGCATAAAATGAGAAAACCAATTGTGTTATGACAACAAATTGTCACCCTGGGAATAAAGCCAGCATACCAGTAGTTAAGTGCATGAAGCGAGGAGAGCCTCGTCTGCTTCATGTTCCTGAAGGCGAAAGAATTATGGGCTACCCTGTTGGGCACACAGAGTTGACTGAAGAGGAAGTTCGCGTCTCGACTGAGGGAAAGATAAAGAGGCAGAGCTATGACGGAAATGAGCAACCTGGTCTAAGCTGTAGAACCTTCGACTCTCCCATACCCTCCTCCACCCCAAGGGGCGGAAGCTAAGGAAAACTTTGAAAAAGAAATGGGAAAAGAACAAAACGGACCCTGGCAAACTAACCATCCGTAACACCTCACCTTCCTCTCTCATCTATCCTCCCAAAACTCACTGACAAGAGATTGGTGCGCGATGAGGACATCGCGAAAGAGTGAGGGGAATGCGTCGGGACTGGTGAGTCCCGAATAACTTCCCATCACCTGAGAGACCGAATATGAACGAACTGTGCACAACAGAGAAATCCAGAGTGAGACGAGATAAAGGATTAGGCCACAGGAGGGAGTAATGCCCTGGGGCGAGAACCACAGAGGGAAAGAGCTAAGCGGCAGCAAGCGAGCGAGCGCAAGAACAGGGGCACGTAGAACATAGCAGGAGGCCGGGAGGGCCATCGGAATGCAATAAGACTGAGGCCAAAGGACCCTTAGAACTAGCAATTGCAGCGCGACAGCAATAAGGGAATGAGGAAGTCAAAGGATGGGCGGCCAGAAGCCGTGGGAAGCCAGGAAATGAGGGGCCAACGTGGGGGCCACCTACGGGAGCCTCGGAGCGGAAGCCCACGACCAAAGAGATCGACACGCACAAGGCGCGAGGAAAGACTAAGGAGAGGGGTCGCTATGGGGCGACGAGACGCCCAAGGGGCATGGGACACCTCGGGGAAAGGCACCCGAGGCCACGTAGGACTAAGTAAAAATAATGGCATCCGGGGCGAAATGTGTAGGGGACTGCCGACGGGACTAAGCGTCGAGGACCACCGACGAGACTAAGTGTCGGGGACCACCGGCGGGACTAAGTGTCGGGGACCGCCGACGGGACTAAGTGTCGGGGACCGCCGACGGGACTAAGTGTCAGGGACCGCCGACGGGACTAAGTGTCCGGACCGCTGATGGGACTAAGTGTCGGGGACTGCCGACGGGACTAAGTGTCGGGACCGCCGACGGGACTAAGTGTCGGGGACCACCGGCAGGACTAAATGTCCGGGACCACCAACGGGACAAATGGCGGGGACATGTGAAAGTCCCAAGAAGAAACGGCGGCACCGCATGAGGGAAAAATAATAAATGCAAGGTCGATCTTGACGGCCAAGAATATTAGCACCACTAGTGCAAGTACTAGTGGTGACAAATGGGGAGGCCAAAAGGAAAAGGAAAAGTAAAGAAAACTGAAGTGGGAGGCATGGGAGCAATCCGAAAAATCTCGGATCAGCCTCCCTCAAGAAAATAGAGTCAAATAAGGCCCCATGTGAAAAATAGCCCTCCGGAAGAAAATCGGAGTAGGAGGGACCATTGTGGGAGAAATATAGGAGTAAAAGGAGGCTCCCATGGGCATGGGAAAACCATTATTGCAGTCCGAGAAATAACGGACTGCACCTTGGGCATAGGGAGGGCCAAAACTAAGAGGAAAAGGCTAGGAAAGGGCCTTAACGGCCACTTGAATGCTAGAAAAGAGAGAGAAAATAAAATAAAATGTGGGAGAATAAGACAAAAAGAGTGAGAGGGAGTGAGTGAGTTGGCCGTCAGTAGGGACTGGCAGGTCCCTACTATCCAAAAAAGGAGGAGAAAAGAAAAAAAAAGAAAAGAAAAGAAAAGAAAAGAAAAGAAAAGAAAAGAGAAAAATACCTTAACGGTAAAAAACGGTCACTTGGGGAGATTCATCCGTGACCAGATTCATTCTGGAATACGGCGGTTACGAAGGACTTTGATTTTCTTTGATTTTCGCAGAGAAAATCAAAGAAAGTCAAGGCCTCTTGCAACCGGAATAAAATGGAATACATGCACGAGGAGAAACACATGTTTTAGGTGCATCCGGAGCCAAAATCAAGGCCGGATGCACTTGGGAATTGGCCGTTTCTTTTTCTTTTTTAGTAAGGGCTAGTTGTGGGGCACTGGGGCTAAGGAATTGACCCCCATTGCAGTCCGAGTTGCAACGGACTGCATGGGGGAGAGAAAACACATGTTCTAGGTGCATCCGGAGCCAATATTTGAGCCCGGATGCACTAGAAAATTTAACGCTTCATTTTCTTTTAACATGGGGCAAGTTGTGGGGCTGTGAGTGTAGAAAACAGCCATGACTACAGTCCGAGAAATTACGGACTGCATGGGGATGACAAGGCCAAAGGGGAATGGGCTACGGCAAACCCGGAAGGCTAGAAAGAAGCAATTTCGACAAGGGGCAAGTAAAGACGGTAAGCGGCAACCGTGAGATGAGATCTCACGGCCTAGAAAAATCGGCACGCATGTAGAAATGATGGGACCACCAAGGGCAATGGGCCCCAAAAAAATAATTAATGGGACGCCGTCCGGAATGTTGCCAGGGACCAAATGGGTCCAAATAATAAAAATCGAAAAACGGGACACGCGCCGGCGGGACCGCCGGCGGGACAAAGAAATGGAGCTAGCATGTAGGAAAATGGCGGGGACTTGGGATGTCCCAAGGGAACCATGAGCAAACACAAGGAATAATTGTGCAAGCAAACGGCACCGTCGAGATCGAGGATCTAGACGGTGGAAAATATTAGCACCACTAGTGGAAAGTGGGAGCAAGTGGGAGAGCCATGGGAGAAAGGAAAGTGAAATAAGGATATTGGGAAGGTTGCCCAGCAGTCCGGGATATCTCGGACTAGCAAGGCATAAGAAAATAGAGCTTTGAGAGGCTCAACATGAAAAAAAGGCTGCCCTTAGAAAATCGGAGCAAAAGGGGCTCAAAATTGGGCAAACGGGAGCAAAATGGAGCCCCTCCTGGTCAAGACCCTCCTGGTCTTGGTATACCTTGTGCCCTTGGAGACACCAAGGGCCAGGTATCATCTCTCTCTCCCCTTTTCTTTCCCCCACCTTCCACTGCCTCTCTCCCCTCCTCTTTTTACCTTCCCCACCCCACCTTTTCTCCCACTAACCACTATCTTACCCTCTTTTCTTCATTTCTTTTCTTTTCTCTCCTCCTTCTTTCCTCTTACTTTCTTGATCACTCTCCATTTTTCCCCATCCTCTTTCTTTCCCATTCTCTCACCCTCCTCTCCCCCAACTACCACCACATCATCCCCCACCTCCCACTTCATCTTTTTTTCTCCCCCACCTATTTCTTTCTCTTCTCCTTCACTTTTTTTCATTCCCATTCCCCCCCTACTTCAATTTTTTTCTGGTTTTTTTCTTCTTTCTATCTCTCTCTTGATTTATCTTTTCTCTTTTCCAAAAATTCGAAATATCTTCTTTCCCACCTTCTTTTCTCATTTTCTGATTTATTTTATTTATTTTTCTATTTAGTCTGAAAATTCGATTTTCTTTACGGCAACCCTAAATCTGATTAGGTGTTAGTCTTTACTACTTTCGACACACGTTCTGACCCCGTGGAGGTAACGAAGTGCTGCCGAAATTTTCTGTTTTTCCTTTCACTTGGTCTTCTTGGCACACTTCGACCCCATGGGGGTAACGAAATGCTGCCCAAATTTTTGACAAATTAGATACTTCATTCCTTTTCCACCTCCTCATCCACTTTTTACTTCTTTATTTATTTATTTGTTTATCCCTTTATCTATTATTTCTTTATTTATTTTCTCAAATTTCTTTTTTTATTTGCGGCATCTTGACACCGAGTGTGCTCACCTTGGTCTCTCCCTTCCCCTTGGCACATTCTTGACCCCGTGGGGGGTAGGGAAATGCTGCCGAAAAATTTCAAAAAATAAATATTGTTTTCCCTTCACATCTTTTTACTTATTTCTTTAATTATTTTTATTATTTATTTATTTCCTTATTTATTTTTAATTTCTCTCAAAATCTCGCTGTTTATTTATTTTTCTCCCGCCTTCCCCCCCTTATGCTTGCTCTTTTACTTTCTTGATTAGGTCACCGGTACCCTACCCTAACCACTTAAACCTCGGTTAGGGTTTTCTTAGGGTTTTTGTAGGGTTTAGGGTTCTTCAAACCCCCCCCTACTTCCCCGTCCTCTTCGGGCACCTTGGACCCGAACCACCCCTCCCACGTCGACGGCGCCCGTGCTAGCCTTGCTAGCGCCGTTCGCCGCTTTCTACCGCGGACTTCCCCCTACGCCCTCCGCTCACGCGGACCTCTTCTGGCCCCCTCCAGTCCGGTCCGTCATCTCCCCATGGCCGACGGTGTGTCACACACCGCCAACACGACGATGACCACGGCATCGGGCTCCACACCCGTGCCGGCGGACCAGGGCCATCAGCCCCAAGGGGATCTGCACACCCTCCTCACCTCCCTCCTTGCGCCCATCCAGGCGCAACTCGCGACCCTCGGGCCCTTACGGGCGCAGGTGGCGACCCTTGCTGCCGGCGTGCAGCAACTCCAGGATGCTACGTGTCCTCCATCTCTTGGCTCCCAGTCTGGGTCCCCCGTCCTCCGACAGGGTGGCCACGACGGAGCTTCCTCCTCCACCGCCCCCGACCCGGCCATCTTGGTGACTGTCCACGCCCCTAACACGACGGCCGCCACGATCCAAGCCCTCCCTCAGTCCACGGGCGCACCCGCCCAGATTCCGGTCACAACGGCCACGGGACCACAACCCGCTACCATGGTCTCAACTTTTCCGGGTGCCCCACTTCTCCCCCCTCTTCGCACGACCACAGCGCCATCTAGCTCTACCCCTTGTGGGATGCCTCGCGTCGCTCGTGCGTCTCCTCCTGCCACACCTCGCTCGACCTACGTTCGAGGTCTCGAGGACGCGATCGCCCAGCTCCGGGCCGACCTCGCCCTCTCACGCCTTCAGCCACCCCCACCCTCACAGGTGGCCACGCCTTCCGGCGCACCCCCTTCGTCCTCTATTCTTCCTTCCATGCAGGCTCGCTTCGCTCGCCCTGCACCCTACCCATCTCCATCCTACCTCCTCCCCATCCCCTCCGTTGCTGCGACCTCTTCCACCGCAGCTCCCGCGCAGCCTGCTGCTGTTTCCCCCGCCGCTCCACCATGCGGCCCGGGCGTACAGTCAACTGCGCCTCCCCCTCCAGGACCTGCGCCGACTTATTCCGCCGTAGCGCAGTCCCCTGCTCCCCGTTCCCCTCGCCGCCAAAACGGTGGCGCACCACTCATCCGCTTGTAGGACATTCCCTTGTATGACGGTACAGGCATACGCGTGTCTAGGTGGCTGCAGTCTGCCACCCGCACGCTCCAGCTCATGGGCGCCACACCCGACACGTGGGTGGGTCACCTCTCCACGCGCCTGCGTGGTGCTCCTTTCGACGTCTGGGAGGATTTCTATGCTTACTCCCTGCGTGAGGGTCGGACTCTGACCTTCATGGATTTACAGGCGTTCCTCGAGGATCTCTTCGGAACCCGATATGACGTGACTAACGCCTTCGAGCGTGTCGTCACTACACGCTGGTCCGGCTCTGGTGGCGTTGCCGGCCTGGATCGCCGCATCCAGGTCTTTCAAGACGCCCGCCTCGTCTGTGACGTGGCGTTCCTTCCCGAGGCTGCCCTTATCGATTGTTTCTTGGCCAGCCTCCCGCTAGAGCACCGCTCCGAGCTATGGCGGTACGAGTTCACATCGGCCCCGCAGGCTTACGAGGCCGCCAGGAACCATGAGCGGATGCGATCCCGTCTTCACCCCGCCGCCTCCTCCCAACCTCAGCGCACGGGTTACGCCTCCTCCTCCTCTCACGGCACTTCCCAGCGTCGTTCCCCTTTCCGCGGTCGCCCTCGCCATTGCCCCGTCGTCGCCAGAGGGTGATCATAGCGATGACCTCGACCTCGGCGATGCCGTCCAGCACCACCTGGAGGACCCTACTCTCCCTATGACTGAGCGCCTCCAGCTTATCTTCTCCACCCTTTCCCGGGCACGCAGCGGCCCTGGTCACGCTGGCGCATCGCCCCCCGAGGTCCCTCAGCAGGACCTCCCTCAGGGCTTTGTTCCTCCTCGCGGTGTCCTTTTCGCTGAGGAGCGCGCGACTGTTATGGGCCGACGTGGGTGTTTGCGATGCCGTCAGGACGGTCATACATCCTCGCGGTGCCCTTATACCACCGCCCTTGACCGCCACTACACTGACCTTTCCCGCCACCGTCGTGCTCAGTCCCCCCCCGGCGCCTCGCATCCCAGCGGCGCCTCCTAGCCACGGTGCAGTGTACACCTGCGCCCTCCTCAGTAGTGGGCTTCCCGACATCTCCATCGCGGTTCCCCCCTCTCGCTACTGGAGTTGAGGTATCTCAGGACCCGACAGAGTGTACTCAGCCCTCTATCGCAGTACCGTTTGCGCCTCCGCAGACCACCGTCTCCCCTCCTTCCCCGCCGCGACTACCGACGCGTCAAGCCATTCGCTCAGCCCGTTGCAGCGAGCAGCTCGCTACTCGCGAGGACG